ATATTTTGTTTCCAAATAAATTTGAAGATGCTGCGACACGTTGATTTCGCTTTATCCGGGAGTCCGGATCGATACATATGCTGGCTGCAGACAGGCCACTACCCTGGCGCGCTGAACCAACCCTCCCAGCCAATTAGCTATATTAATTCGAATTTTCGAAACTGTTGTGGAATCGAGGACCAATGTAATTTCCTGGTACTTTTTTTCACCTCCCTCGTAGTCGTCATTACACCAGAACGCTGGTACCAATTTCCTCTAATACAATGCTGATGGAAATGAATTGTGACCCTCAGCAAAGAAAGGGGGTTGGAAACAGTGGCGTCAGCGAAAGGAGAACTCTGCAGAAACCTAAGTGGGAATTCGCATTGCAGCCTCAGAACTGCCCAGTACAAGGTACGTGCTTAATATGCCGACGACAGTAGCGACGCTTGTGGCAGACCTGATGAACTTCTGTACTCTGTATAAAGTGGAAGTGTTACGCTAACAAAATGGAGGCGAAATAACCCAGTCGGCATAGCGACAAAGAAACGGGATGAGGGACCGAGAAATCGGGGTTTGATTTCAGATAGTGTTTATTATCTTCACAGCGACCACCTTGGCTGTGGAGGCCACCAAATTTCGTATTTAATAGATTGTGGGGTCCTTTCTCAGGGATTAAATCGGCTGGGGCGTGGAGGTGGCATGATGTGTCCATCTAGTGCCAATGTTAAGAATGGGTGGAGCTGTACATGTACGCCTTATACGCCTTCGTACGTCCTACTAAGAGTGGAGGCAATTTTACCTTCACATCAGCGTAACAGAGCGACCAATATGACATCTGCTTTATTCTTGGTCTTGCAAGTGACGCCTAAGAGGATTTCTCAGTAAACCTTTGATGAGTTTCTTGTCCCCTAATCCGATTTACCAATGATTCTGAACTAAACTTCACTGTTCTAACTTTACAGTGAGATAACTTCCTTATGTACTATCATAAACTCTCCACAAAGCTTATTGGTCTCTGGCCCAGAGAGTTTACAGAGTATTTTGTTTCCAAAGACTTCCCTTGCAAGATCAGGAGGCAGAGTATATCACTCTTGGAGCTGAACCCTTCTTGAGGAGCCGCAAATTGTGCAGTTACTCAAGAATTTCCCAGCATTTTATGGAACCCGAAGGTTCATTACCGTGTTCACAGGAGTCCTCCACTGGTCCCTATCCCGAGCCAGATCAATCCATCCCATCCTGTCTCTCTTAAGACCCATTTTAATATTGTTCATCCACCTACGTCTTGGGCTTCTCAGTGGCCTCTGCCCTTCTGGCTTTCCCACCAATTTCCTATATACATGCCTCTTCTCCCCTATTCATGCTACATGGCCTGGCCACCTCATCCTCCTTGCCTTGATCATTCTATTTATACTTGAAGAAGACTACAAGTTATGAAGCTCCTCATTAAGATTATCTATATATCTATATATAATTAGTATAAGCAGGGCAGTGTCTGTCGACTTGTTGTTATATTGTTTGCGTGGAAACGAAATGTATTTTCAGTCTGAGTTACGATATAAACAGGTGACAGCCGGCATAAGCTACAGAGTCTCGGTTGCTGTGACACCGTATACATTTACTGGAAAATGAGACGTGTATATTAATTACTGTTATGCTTATTCTGTCAGGCTGTCATTCCAGGAGTTTTGATGTTAACAGCGTGTATATCCAGTTACATACATTTCAAAGTGCCTCTGAAAGGCTTGATGTGATGTCGGAGCGGATCACTGGTCTGTCTGTGATCGCTTTACACACTTAACTTGCATCTTATTGCAGCTTTGTTTACAATTACTCCTTAACTTAAAACAATATCAACCTTAAAATTAAACTACTTCATGTTTCGGCCATACTTAGCCATCCTCAGGCAACTGTTCGCTTGTTGAAATTTCTACACTGCTTTAGTTCTTAAATTAAAATATTCAAGTTTTATTGCATTTGTGGCAGTCACACATCGAAATACATTTGCGTGAGAACATTATTTGCGCTAGCTTATTTTTTCGGTGTCCGTGTTTTCTGTACTCTATAATACAGGGTGACTCCCGGGAATAGGACATTCTTCAAATGAACAGTACTCAGCCCATTTTCAACTTAAAGCGAATTTATTGACAAAAATTACAGAGAAAATTTGCAATTTTATGTACCTATTTTAGTTGTCAGAAATCGTCCTGCAGATGACGCCCGTCCTCATGAATGCAATTTTCCACCCTCTGCTTCAAGTCGTTAAAAACTCGGCCCAACATCTCTCGAGCGATCAGCTGTACTTCCCCATGAACGACATCCTTCAACTCAGTTAAAGAGCGGGGCTTATGGATGTAGACACGGCTTTTGAGGTATCCCCACAGGAAAAATTTGCAAGCCGATAATTCAGGAGCACTGGGAGGCCAAGGCACATCACTGAAAGGGGAAATTACGCGTCCAGCAAACATGTTCCGAAGAATGTTGTTTTTCACAACTACACTAGGTACATAAAATGGCAAATCTTGACCTGTAATGTTCTGTCAAGAAATTCGCTTTAAGTTAAAAATGGGCTGAAAACTGTTCATTTGAAAAACGTCCTATTCCTGGGAGTCATCCTGTATATTAATGATTCTTGTTATTGTTAAATTTGACAAATTTTTATTTAGGTAGTTGTGCTGTTATGTGTAGCCTTATGAATATTGGTGTGGTTTTAATATCGTTATTTTTTCTGCAGTATGCAAAGATTGTGTTATTTGCTATGTTTATATGCCTGTATGTTTCATATTTACGTGCCCCATTAGTATGAATGCTCTGATTGAGCGTATGTCACTTTACTATTATGGACGTTGCTTATCTATGGCTATAGATGGATGTTGTTAAAAATCACAATTCAATTTTTAGACGGCTTTTTATTAATTGTCAGTAATTTTGTGCTGTGTTATGTGGCGGTTTTGTGTCGCCAGAAGATAGTTTGTTGCTGATCTTGGTTTTAGATGGAAGAGATGCTTATTGCCGTAATTCTTTATATTTACATCTCCACCCGGTTGCCTATCATTGGCGGAAAACCGCAAGACTGACAGTGATTCAACCCCACACGGAGAAATGAGGTTTCCAGTTCACATGCGGTCTGAGCTCCCTACAACCCACAGACTCCCCACAAAGCGGTAAAATTGGAGAAGGGGATTATCATAATTAGAATACGGAAGGAAGTGGCCACTTTGGGGAACTAGGAATAGACGGAAGCATAATATTAAAATGGATAATAGATTATTAGTGTGGGACGTTTTAAATTTCATTATGTTGTTTCGGATATTTCTCACTGGAGAGCGCGCTGAACACTGTGTTAAAACTTCGTGTTATATAGAATCAGGCGTTTATTTACGAACGATGTGGCTATTAACTGCGCAAAATAACCGTGTAAAAAGCAATATGTAATAATAGTTATGGAATATTTACAAGAACTATCTCGTTTCTGTGTTTTGTAGCAGTGAATATTTAAGTTCTGTTACTGTGCAACTCGCAGCTAACGTTTGGGAGTTCTTAGGTTTTTGGAATCAGTGACGCATCCCGTTGAAACATAAAGTCCAACTACATAGTTATAAAATTTCAGCGTCTGTTTCCGGGGGGAAAAAAAACGCATCTGTATTACGGGAAACAGTCTGTTAATGTTGCTTAGGGCAATAATCGCTTTTTATTGTGAGAACCGAATGAAGCAAGCAAATACATTTTGTGGCCGAAACACACAGTATTTTTAATGTTAAAGCAGGCGATATATGCAGTAACGATAGTTTTAAGAGTTTTATTCCGCTCCGTGCTTAATGTCCGACAGATCCGAGATTTTTAAGTGCAGAAACCAGTCACAAAGCAGTTGGAGACCTGTCTATAACTCAGAGATTATCATATAATTCTACTTAATCCACTGAAGCTCTTTCATGATGTGTTATTGTGGAGATCATGCGTGACGTTTTCGAAGCTGGATGTACTTCCTTCATCAGGAGTAAAGGTATGCCTATAACAGACCGTGGAATCCCATAAGGTTGTGAGACGTTGAAGTTCCCACATTTTCTAGACAATCGGCTCACAGATGGCGGTGAGAATGTCGGCCTTACGCACCGGCCGCCCTCTACCCCCAGGAAGATTCCTGGTACTAATTTCTGTTAGAGACTGAGTTGACCCCAGCGCCATAGTGCGGTTGGACGGATTAGGTAAATTGAAAAATTCCATCTCGTCGGGATTCAATCCCGCGACCTTCTGGCTTGAAGCATAGTGACTCAATTAACTACGCTACCGTGTGGTAAGCTAAGGAAAAGGTCCTGCTCATTTGGGCTCATAAGATGGAGAACACTGATGAAGACTAGCCCCTCCTAACAGGCCCAGCTTAGCAGAATGTTTTCCCCCAGGCACACCTGTTAACAGAAGAAGGTTCATGTATTTGTAAATATACCTGAGACGATGGAAAGTGTGTAGCAACTCTCCTTGTTTCTATAACATGATATCCTCCTGAAGGAAAGGGTATGGATTGAGAAGGAAGAACTGAAGAAAGAAGTTCTGGGAAGAACGAATCGCCTGCTTTCCTTTGATACTACACGGACAGCACAGGAAAGTAGACACAGACACTCATCAGCCTAAAAATTATGGGATGGGGGATACACAGGCAGCAAGGTGATGGCATAACCTTCCTGTTATTTTTTTTTATAAATTATGAAAGTAGGCTAAAACGAAGATAAAATTCAGAACGAAGAGCTTCGGCAACAATTATGCATCTTTTTGCGGCTGCCAGGCAGCCTCGTGTAGCGATTATATTAGTTTCGTGATTCGTTGTGAAACGTCATCGCAAGGAAGTGGGAGTTATGTGATATTTGTGAGGAATTTATTCACGTATGTTTCTGAGTTTGTTATGCAGATATTCTGAGTATAAAACATGGGGCCACGGGGTTGAAGGAAGAGGAGTAAAAGTGACGGACGGTGCAGTACACACGGGACTTGACTAAAATGATGTTGAAATTTCTGTCTTGTTGCAGGTGAGGCTTCCAACGATGTGGCCTCATTGGGCACGGCTGCTGAATGAGGTAGTGCATTGCTTAACGGTGAGTTGGTTTGTTTTCTGCTCATTACTCGTCTGTTGTAACCTGTGCTGTTCGCCATGTTTGTCGGAGGTGTAGTGAACAACCCGCTCTAAGGGTGTTTCGATATGATGTCTCAGTTCATTTGCACGTTACATGGAGAGGCATTTTTTTTTCCCTTTGGCACTACAACCCCAACTCTCCTTTTTACTTCGGTTTACTAGAGCTTAGACATTCGGCAGGACTCCTTAGGCGGGCGATCAGCTCTTCTCAAGGCCTCCACCTGTACAGATATACAGAAAACACACATACAAACACTAAACGTCCATGCCCTGAGCGGGATTCGAACCCACGATCCCTGCTTTAGATCGCTCGGCTACCCTGACTGGCGGACGGAGATGTTAGGATGGTGAAATCCTAGGCAATAATAATGATTTATTGAACTGCGTGGAGCATAGTCTTTCTAGATAAACCGTTATTGGCTTAGTTCTTTAAGAAGCTCTCCGACGATTCTAAACAGCCAACGACTGGACATTGTCCTGAGTGACATGAATTTAATCAGCACACTTTCACTTTATTTCCTTTTAAGATGAGATTTCATATCAACTACGCTTAGGTCTCGCAACTCGCCCCTTTTCTCAAATTTATCACATTAATATTATATATGTTCCGGTCACGGTAGCTGAGCGGTCTAAGGCATGCTTCGCTCACTCGGAAGCCCGGGATCTAGGGTTCGAATCCCACTTAGGGCGTGGATGTTTGTGTGCGTTTTTCTGTGTTTGTGTACAGGTAGACGCCTTGCGACGAGCTGATCACCCGCCCAAGGAGTCCTACTGAATGTGTAAGATTAGTAAACCGAAGTGAAACGGAGAGTTTCATGGAGGTAGGCCAAGGCCCAAATTGGGGCTATAGCGCCAAAGGGAAAAAAAAATGCATTCCTCATTTCCACCAGTAATGGTCACATTCCTTAATTTGATCAGCCTAATAGCATTTGATGAAGAGAACAAATTATTAAGAAGCTCCTCACTGCTGTTTACACCTTTACTTTCTATTGGAGTGATAATTTGTTAGAATATCGGCAATGTCACCAAATATCCTAACATTTCTCGCAGTTTCCTTCTGGCTTTTGTGAAAAGTTCTGTGATGATACTGTACCTTAAATTAGGGCAATGAATGAATGTAGAAGGGGTGCGCCTTCTTGGCCCTTGCACCGTGACCACAGTGATCTATTGTGCCTAAAATTAGGGCAAAATCACATCCCTCGACACCGTTTCCTAGTGACTGGTCACTAATCATCCTACTGTGTAGTTTATGAGAACTGAGAATGAACAAGTGTTTAAATGTCCCCGCCGAAAATGAGTGATTTAATCCGCTTTTCCTTAAATATGAACACACCTCTATGAATTCTACATACGTAGAGCGAATTTTTGTCTTCATCAGAGTGTCCAAAACGGGGCGTAGTTCCCACCCAGCCCTCTCTGCAGTGGGTACCTGGAGCTCATTTTCCGGGGTTAAATCGGCCGGGGTCTGAGGCTTATAATTTTCAGATAATGCAGAAGTTGAGAATACGTGTAGCTATACTGCCATTTCTTCGTGTGTCTTCATGGAATAATAAAGCATAGAGGCAGCTTTGCTTGTACTCGTTCCTTCAGGGCCTAATTCACTTTTTTTAAAGTAATTTTCGCAGTGAGATGTCCATAAAACAGTTGAATAGCTCTGTGGTCCCCACATAGTTAAGCTGTATCTGCTGCAGTTTGAATCTCTGCCAGATCAGAGAGTATATTTACCCGTGATGAATCTTGCGCTCCTCTGTTTACTTCCACTTGTGAAATGGATCAGATGTAATAGCGTTCCTCTAATACGAAGCAGTCAGACGTACTTGGGGGTCAGTTTTAACGCCTTTGCTTTTTAATGTTTTTATAAATGATTTAAATGACGTAATTAATCACTACAACTGTCTTCTTTTTGCTGACGACCTCAAAATCTATCGAGCAATTAGTTCCATTAGTGTGTACACAAATGGCGTTCGGCGAATTTTATGAAGCCAATTTCAATAAAGTGCAGTCGTTTCATTTAATAGGAGGACTAAATTCATAATTATCCGTACAGACTTGTAAATTCCTATGTATTGCATTAAGGATTTGGGTGTGCATCGACATGCCAATGCTATTTACCTGTACTGTTCTCCAAGTATAATTAGAATAATCAAGTCAAGGAGGATGAGGTGGGCAGAGCATGTAGCACAAATTGGGGAGAAGAGGAATGCATAGAGGATATTGCTGGGAAAGCCAGAAGGAAGCAGATCACTGGGAAGACCAAGGCGTAGGTGGGTGGATAATTTTAAAATGGATCTTGGAGAGATAGGATGAAATGGTATGGACTGGATAGATCTGGCTCAGGATAGGGACCGCTAGAGGGCTCTTGTGAACACGGGAACGAACCTTCGGGTTACATAAAATACTGAGAAATTTTTGAATAGCTGCAGAATTCGCGGCTCTTCAAGAAGGGCTCTGCTCCATAACTAAGTACGTAAATAAGTGAAATTTTTAGGGATAATTCGCAGAGTTACGCATTCTTTTTCCAACAGAGGCGGTTTACTGTTGCTGTACAATGTTCAGGCCGTATCTAAAGTGGAGTGTGCTCCTGTTGCTTGTAACTCTGTTGCGGTTACTGGTCCCAACAAACTTGAGCGCGTACAAACAAAATTTGCAGCCCTTTGCCACAGTAGACTTTTTCAAGATGTGGAATATCACTATGATAATTTATTGGAAAGATTAAATTTGCTGACCCTGCATAACAGGCATCATCACTTTGATGATTTATTGTTAATAAACGTCTTTACTGGCTCTAAATGTTGCTCCTCTGTTTCCGAAATAGCCGGCCTTCGGGTTCCTACTAGGAACATTCGTTAGCTTAAACATGTTCACTTGGTCTTCTAAACACTGGCCTTCAGCTAGACGCGTTGCAACCGCAAATGCAGTTTGTAAACTTGCAGATATTTTTAGAAATTCTAGTTTGAGTGTTAAAAGCCTAAACTGGTTAATTTTTCTTTGCTTTTATTTTGTCTTCTCCTTGTGGCCTCTCTCTTGCTGTTATTTATATTCGTGCCGACTCTAATCGGCCAGTGGCAGTTGAGCTTGGCATGTAAATAAATAAAGATTATTATTTCTGGAACCGGGATAGCTCAGTCGGTATGGCACCAGGCTACGGGTTGGAAACTGGGTTCTTTTCCCGACAAGGTCATAATATTTTTCCCTTCTCCACAGTGTCCACACCAGCTGTATGACCAACCCAGCCTCCTATACAATTCATAGATGGGGCTGTTTGCCCGGAGGTAATGCGGCAGGAGTGTGATGCTGATCACTCACCTCTAATTGTGAAGGTTGAGAATGGTGGAGCTATACCTTCACTCCTCCATACGTCCTCATGGCGTTATACTTAATAAATTAAGCCCTGGGTTAACTTTACATTCATTATTATTATTATAGCGCGGTCTTTACAGCGACCGCCTGCGGGCTGGACGACCGAGAGGTCGGAGTTCGAGTCCCGGTAGGGTCAGAATTTTCTCTTCTCAATATCGTCCATATCTGGGGCTCACCCAGCCTCCTGCCCAGTGGGTACCGCGGGCTCTTTCCCCGGGGTAAAGCAGCAAGGGCGTGAAGCGGACCACTCACCTCCAGTTATTGCCGAGGTAAAGAAAATGTGGATCTATACATCCACTCCTCCATACGCTTTCATGGCATAGTGCTTAATTAGCCAAGTGCAGGGACAACTTTACCTTTTTATTATAAATTATTCAAGAGTATGAAGCACGGTTCTGCTCATTGGAGTTCTTTTTGTAATACATCCTGAAGACAAGCCCTTATAGAGGAGCAAACTGTGAGGCAGGAGGTGAAACTATAGTGTACTGCTAAGTGGCTGGTAGATTCATGTTGTAATCATGGGATCCTGCTTACGATACACGATTCTGTAACGCAGTGTCCCTTCAAAGCTTACAATCCACCTAAATAATAGTTAAAAATTAAGTTCGTGTCTCACAAAATGCCTACGTCGTCTCCACTACAAAGACTAACCGTCTAAATATTGTTTCGGAAAAAAAAATACTTGCGTTTTAATCCGTGTTATTAGTCCGCAAGCGAACTATACCGGGCGAGCGTCCGCCGCTTGTCGGCGAAGTTAGTGCCAACTTCAGCGAATAGAGGGTGTCGCGTGGTCAGTGCAACGAATCCCCACGGCCGTTAGTTTCGGTTATCTAGGCCGGAGCCGCTTTTTCCTTGAAATAGCTCCTCAGTTATCCTCACGAGGCAGAGTGGACCTCGTTCCAGACCAACCACTTCCCAGAAAAATATGGTAGAACCAGGAATCGAACCTGGGACCTTTGGATCTCTAAGCCAGGAACTTTGACCACTAGACCACAGAGGCGGTCTCTCGTTTTACTACCAGAATAATATGAAACATTTAAGTACAGTGTGTGAACACAGTGTGTTTTAAATTATTGCAGGTGATGAATTAATGTATAAGGAGCCTTTCACCGCGACCACAGTGATCTGTTGTGCATAAAGCAGGTGATGGTTGACACCTAAAAGTACGCACTCTGCTTTAAAGGGTTAAATTTAAAATGTAGAAATTTTAAAAAGCAAATCCCTCCTTCTGTAAGCATAAATTTAAAAATATAAAAGCCTCCTGTCCGAGGGGACCTCGATCCCTGCATAGGTGGACACTGACTGACATTGTATAAGTGAAATATCGGACGAAAATGCAAGTGGATAAGTTGACAGTTCCTACCCCTAGCTGCGATTTCCATAGATAACTCTTTCATTGATCCACTGTTGTACGTTGCACCCCTCAGGGGACACAACGAAATCACGATGTCATTCAATATGCAAGCTGTGTAACTCTCTCGTCGGCAAAACACACGCTGTGATATCGACTGAAACACAGACACTTCTTACTACCATTTATTACTGCCATCTTTTGGTTGTGTTCTGACCTACGAATAATTATCCGTAGACATTAAACTGACT